CTGGTGGCCGCTGTGATTTCTCCATCCCTTTCTGATCATAGGCTGGAGGGGAGTTCTTCCACCTGCACCTTTCTGTACAAATACTAATTCAATTCTAAGTCTTAAGTCACTTTTTTAATATATGAACTTCTGCTCTTCCCTCTTCCTGGTGGTGGTGGATGCATGACCTGGCGCCTGCCCAGCCGGCTCACCCCGTCCCGCGGGTGAGGGCCAGCAGCGCCCCGGTCCCACAGTACTGTAGTTCACTGTTGGAAACAAAGGGATCTTGAGACTAGACAGCGTTGTTTAAAGTTACCCGTATGTCAAGCTAAGGCTCATACCAGTACGACATGCCTAGAACCACTAAACTGTAGCATTATAGTGACAAACTCTGGCTTTTCAGCCACGTATTGACCAAATCAATTATGAGTATTCTGGGGTGGGGCAGAGGGAAGCAAAACTGGTTTCTTCTGTATTTTGTATTGTATGTTTCTTCATGTAACCAATCAGTATCTTGTCAATATAGTACATACAACTAGCTGCCTGTTGTCTTTATTTGTGTTGGACTCCAGCATGCCAACTCTTTTTTTTTTTTCTATCTCCGGTTCTGTCGTAATGCACTAATCCTGATGCAACTTTTGCAAAGATCTTGTATAGAAAATTGTCCTTTTTTTGATGGTTGTGATGCCACTAATGTTGTTAACCCTACTCTAGTGTGAATACACATGATTTACTGATGTACAGAGGTGGGGTGGGGGAAACCTCGGATACCTTGTCAGTGGAAACAATATGTATTGCAAAAGCCTGTAATTCCACGAAGTATGAAGGGAGGTATTAAAATGGCTTCTGTTGCCAGACTCTAACTGATGTTGGCTGCTGCCTAGTGCCTAATGCAGTGTCTTATGCATACCGGTATTTAAGAGGAACTGTCAACTTAGTCTTCATCACAAACTTCGGTTTTGTGTGATTAAAAAAAAATTTTTATAAACCTATCATAATCAGCAATGTTCATGTTTCTTAATCAGCTCAAACCGGAAGGGGAGTGGACCAGAACATGCCAGTTGTGCTGGGGGCTGGGATGTGCTGGGCTGCTCGTGGGGTGTACAGCACCTGCCGCCTCCGTAGGGCTGCGTGCCCTTCCTTCCCTTTTTTTTGCCCTCGGGCCTCTGCCGAGCCGGGGCTGTGCCCCTGCTCCTGCCGGAGCTCTGCCAGCACTGCGGGTGTTGGGTGAGCTTGTGGCACTGGGCAGCGGCAAAGGAAGCTTGGGGCGAGTAGTGGGAACTGGTCATTGCCTGATACTCCAGTGCAAACTGGGAAGCGGTGAGGGGAGCAGCGCGCAGAGGCGCTCAGCTTGGCCACGACGGACTTGGGGCCACTGTGCTCGAGTATTAATGAACAAAATGGCTCTGTCCCTGGAGGAGGATGGCCTTGATGCTACTCTGATGTCACTGCTGCGTGGGCTTCGGGATCCTCACACCCACGGGTGAGACCTGGAGCCAATACGGAAAACGGAGCAGCTCTGCTGCTACCCTGCGTGTTGCTGGGCCAGCGCCCCGCCTGCTTGGGAGAGCTTGAAGATGGTGATGGGCTGGTGCTTGGACCTGCTGCCTCTCCTCAGCTGCTGGAGCTCTGCGAGAGGCACAGCCACAGGCAACCGTGCGACCAGCCCCGGGCTGGGCTTGCCCTGGGCTTGTGGGGTTGGGGCTCCGAGAGCTCTGCTGGGTAATGACCAATAAAGTTGTCTGTGCAAGCAGCCTTGGCTCCTGTGGGCTTCATCCTCTACCCAGGGTCCAGGTGCCTCTGGCTCATGCTGCATTTCCTTAAAATCCTGGGAGCAGAAAGGGTCTGGAGCGACTCAGCGACCGAGTTCCCGACGTGTGGCTGGAGCGCAACTGCCTGCGGGGTTTGGGCTCCAGTGGCCTCGCGTGGGCTTTGCTCGCTGGGTGATGTGGGTGCTGCCTGTTTCCAGCCCCTGCGGGGGAGGCTGCCTGCTCAGCTGCCAGCAAAGCTCAGGAGCTCTGTGAGGCATCCCAGCTCTCATTGCTGGTGTCCACAGGCAGCAAGAGATGGACCCCTTGGAGAAGGGCTTCCCCAACTCCACGATGATGTGAACGCAAGGCGAGGTGCTGTTGCCATCTGCTGGCTTATTTTGCTTGGTTCCTCGTTGACAGGGTCTCATTTTGGGCTCCTTCCAGGACTCTGGGTCTCCTCTCCCAGAGGAGCTGTGCTGCCCTAAGGGGTCTCTTGCTGCTGCCTGAGCCCGGGCTGTGGGACGTGGAGCTGGCTGGGCCCTGCGGCTGCTGCTG